ATACATGCTTTAAAAACGAACCTTATACTGCATTAACAATATGAGAAAATTCTCTTTGTTATATTCTTGAATGCAGCAGCTCATTTGACAAATAATTTTTGAAGGGCGCATATGTGTGTTTACCGGAACAGAGTGGTTTGAAAAATCCAGAAATTTTAAAGGTTTCTTGTCCCTTCATGCGCTAACTCTGCATTTTAGAAATGAGGCTTCAAACATATCCGAGTGTTAGTGAGGAAGACTAAGCTCGGAAATTCCTTTAGTTGGGGCATAGAAAACCTATTTGCTAATGTTTAGACTCTGAATTATTCGATGAAGATTTTTATAGTGTTTACTTTACTCTCAAGCTTACCTGCAAGGAACCAGAAAGCCATTTTGTTGTAATCAGTCTGGTCTATTCAACACTCAGATTTATGCAAGTATTCATACCATTTGCCATACTTTCCTTAGATGCGAGTGACGGGTGAGGTGTCAATGTAACCGATGACGACAACACGTTGCTAGAAAAACATTGGGTAAAGTCTTGCTCAAAAAGGTCTTCCTTCATATGGAGAACGTTTCATGGCACATTTAAGACAACACCGCATGATGTAGGACATCTTTATCAGATCACATCCGTTACCGTCGCGATTTACGCGCAGAGATGCTGCATTCCTCGTTCTCTACGTATGGTTAAACGCTCCTGTCGCTGCAGTATGACTAGAGTAAGCGCCTTTCTTTGATATTTCGAATCGCTTCTGAGAAATCAGTGGTTGAAGACGATGTAAAGTGCATTTTACAAAAGGAATCAACTTTCTTATGAACTTGCAAATAATCAGAAACTATTGGTATGCGATGCATTCCTTCTGAACGTTAAAAAGAATTAAAGAAATATGGAATCTATGCATCATCACTTATTCATTAATACTGCATTGATTATTTGAATGAAACTCCTACAATTTTATGCGATGCGGCATAGATGAAATTAGCAAAGCTTTGACATCGTTCTAGGTGCCAAGGGAATAGAAGATTGGCAGAGTTGATTTACTACTGTGTAGGCTAGCCTGTGAAGCAAAACAGGCAACTTGTCAGATAAGTTTAATTGCATATTTCTTTTGAAAGAAAAAATAAAGCTGCGTAGAGTTATCCTT